CTTGAACTTGTCGGCTTCTACACGCTTGTGAGCCATTTACCTAAGATAAATCTCTCTCTCTCTCTCTTTCTCTCTCTATAAATATATATATACACCTTGCTGGTTTTTGTGTTTCTATAGAGAACCCAATCCAACACACCAGGTCAGTGGTTCAAACCCACCAGCTGCTGTGCAGAAGGAATATGGGGGCAATCTACTTGCATAAAGATTTACAGCCTTGGAAAACCAATGCGGTTTGCTATGAGCCGGAATTGGCTTGATGGCAGTGAGTTTGGTATTGGTTTGTTTGATTTTCTTCATTCTTCTTTGCTCCAGACAAGAGAGAATAATTGCTGCATCTTAGATGGTGTGATAGTTGGAGCTGTGTGTCAACTTGGCTGGATGACAATTCTATGTGGTTTAAGCCATTGTGATGTGGTTATTCCCATGATGGGATCAGATGATTATGTTTTGAGCAGGCAATCTGTTGAAAGGGAGTTTCCCTGGGGGCGTGGCCTGCTTCCAGTATATCTATGGACATCCTGGGAAAAGAGACATTCTTCTGTGGATCGGGATTCTGTTGTGCTGCCTACAACTGTCCCTGAGTGAACAATCCACCATTCGGCCTGGAGATCTTGGATTTGTCATTCGTTGGAGTCAACAGCCAGTATACTGCCTGCCAGCCTTGAGCTCTTCAGCCCCTGCGGCTGCAAGAGTCGTGAAAAGCCTCCAGCTTGACGTTTGATCCAGGAACTTTGGACTTGCTAGCTTTTATAACTGTGTAAGTCATTTTCCTAAGATAAATTTCTCTATATATACATATAGATATAGATATATAAGCTTATATATATAAGCTTTACTAGTTTTGTTTCTCTAGAGAACCCAGTCTAACACAGATGGCCACTTGCAAGCTTTTAAGACCCCAGTCACTATTCACCAAAGTGGGATGTATAACAATGTTTTTGTGTAATATGCCAACTGAGCTTGTTCCCTGCAACCATGGTCCTGAGCCCATGGGTCCAGCAACTCACTCATGTGGAGTACTTCTTGTACTGACATTTGGTTTACAATGATAGAAAAATTGCGTTGATTAAGGGAAGGAGTCCACAGCCAATTATCATAAATGCTGCCAATAAGGTGGCAGTTCATACCCACCAGTCACTCCTCGGAAGGAAGACTGGGCAATCTACTTCTGTAGAGACACTGCCTCGGAAACTCGAGGGGTTGCTATGAGTTGGATTTGACTTGACAGCAGTGAGTTTGGTCTTTTTTTTTTTTTTGAAGGTGCATACCTATAAAAAGTTAAAGTGGTAAAAATTGTGATATATTTACAACAATTATTTTTTTAAACAAAGTGTACCTACTGAAGCTGCTTATGTACAACCAAATAACTCATGGATTGGTTGGAGGTTTCTTGGTTTGGAGGTTTAGAGTCATTGCTTCATGAGATATCCCAGTTAAATGGCTTAATATTGTGTTTAGTGCTTCTGTTCTACCTCCTAGTTCATTGTATAATGCCTGGGCTCTTAAAAGCTTACAAGTTGGCCCTTCCAAGGCACAGCAATTGGTCTATTCCTCTGGATCAACAGAGGTGGAAGGAGAACCAAGAATTGGAGGAGGAAATGGAATATGTGGCTAATTGCCTCCATAAACAACTGCCTCCTTTGCCATGAGATCAGAACTGTAGAGTGTCTGGCTATCACTACTGAACATTTTTTATCACAGATTCTATATTAGAATCCTGATCAAAAGGGGGAGAGGTGTAGAACAGAATTTAAAATTCTCATGCTCCACACTTTCTGAAGCCATGGATGCTGGATGAACCCCTGAAATATTGCCCTGAGATAATTTTTAATCCTTAAACCAAATATGGGAGCTCTGGTAGCATAGTGGCTAAGGCACTTGACTGCTAAGCAGAAGGCTGGCGGTTCAAACCCACCAGCCCCTCCTTGGAAGGAAGATGGGGCAATCTACTTCCATAGTGATACTGCCTCGGAAACTCAAGGAGGGGTCGCTATGAGTTGGGTCTGACTGGACGGCACATAACAACAACAACAAACCAAATATATCCCCTGAAGTCTTAAAGCCAAACAATAGTTTAACTAGTAAAGAATGTATGCCTTGAGAATTGAGCTTTTTAAAGATCTTTTGATATGAGATCAAACTGACAACAGAAACTCAGAAGATTAGATAGGAAATTTAGGGAACAATGAGTTTATGTCAATAGAGAGAGCAACAACTTACAAAAAAAAAGAATGGCTGCACAATTTGAGGAATATAGTCAATGTCACTGAAATGTACAAGTAAAATCTTACTGAGTGTATGTTCTTCTGCATGTATTCTCAACAACAAAAATTAATTATGTATTAGAAAAAAGGCTGTTATAGGCAGTGGGGGATACAGAAGTAACTTGGATTTTGAAGCTAATGGAAACTAGAAACACTCTCAACAAGGTCAGTATGACCTTGTACTTGTTACTTAGCCTTCTAAATCTTCATCTATTCTACAGATAACATATGCCAAGCACTTGGCGCATTGTAAGAGCTCAGTAAATTTTATCAATTATTAAATGAGATAATTCACGAGTAGCTCATCTGAAAATACTCCATAAATGGAAACAGTCAACCCTCCCTGGGTTAGAGGCTCAAAAGGCCCAAAGCCAGTACCCTGGCACTCAGGAACTGTGTAACGAGGGAGATTATAGAGAAAAATCATCTTCTCATGAACATGTAGCTCGCATGTTCACCGCTTCTATGGTGTGGCACATCGTACTCAGGGTCCCTAAATTTGATGAAAAATGACAAAACGACTGGAGAATGAACAGTCCCGCCACTCTCCTGTTTTCGTGCTGGCTCCAGCCCCTATTTCTGGGACCAGTTCAACCCAGCGGGCAGTCACTGCAACAAGAGGCCCTCACACAACCACCCAGTCCAGGCCAACCAGTGCACTCCCCACTATGACCGGTAGCGGGCGCTCGTCCTGCCCCGCTCCTGACATGAGTCCTCGATTACGCATGCGTGATTTCTTTCCTCCTGTCTCCTCTGCCCCTCCCTTTCCCCCCCCCCCACTTTGACCAGTTACGTTCGTGCGGCGTCTTTTACGCATTTCTGACGTACATGGGCGGCTAGGAGCGGAGCGAAAGTCCTGCACGATTCGTGCATGAGTGGCAGTGGGGCGAGAGAAGGAAACTGAGCCCAAAATTGCGCTAATTAGCCCACCTCCTGGCCGCCTGTGAAAGAGGAAGGAGGAGGTGCCGGCCGGGCGGGGTGTGGCCTCGACAGTCGGAGGGTGCTGCGATTGGTCCTCGGCTGTGGCGACATCGTCGATTGGCTTCTGCGTGCAGAGCCTGGTGAGAATGGGTGGCGGCCGTTTGAATTCAAAAGTGGCGGGTGTGGCACGGAGCTGGTAGCAGCCGATACCTTAGCTCAAGTGTTCTGCGTTGGGAGCGAGGGAGAGAACCTGGGTTCCGGGCTCCCAGCATTCTGTCTTCTTCCATTGCGCTCCCCTGGCGTCTGTGGGACGGAGCTGGACATGGAGCAGCGGGTGAGTAGTAGGGACTGACGCCGTTCTCCTGGCCCCAGGCCGGGATCTTGTGCGTACTTTCTGTCCCTACGGGGATGACAGCGAAAGTCCGCGCTCCGCGGTCTGTGCTCCACCCCGGGGATTGGAGGGAGGGGAGAGAGTGGAGATGGCTGGGAGCAGCCCCTGGAGTTTGGAGGGGGCGTCTGTCTGCCTTAAGTCATAGAAGTCCCTACTCCCTTCCTCACTTACATGTCTTCAGGATTTCCCATTTCGAATTTTCAGGTGAGAGCGCCATGTGAAAGATTGTTGTTGTTGTTATGTGCCGTTGAGTCGGCCCCGACTCACAGCGACGCCTCCTGGGTTTCCGAGGCAGTATCCTACCGAAGTAGATTGTCCAATCGTCCTTCCGAGGAGTGACTGGTGGGTTTGAACCGCCAGCCTTCTGGTTAGCAGTCAAGTGCTTTAGGCACTGATTAGGAGCTCTGGTGGCGTAGAGCCTAAGGCATTTGACTGCTAACCAAGGGGCGATGTAGGAAAGGAAGTCAGGTAACAGGGAATGGGATTGCGGCTCATGTTGCTTCTTGTTGGGACTGCTGTAAGGACTTTAACTTTGACTCTTTGAGATGGGGTGTCTTTGGACAGTTTTGAGGGAACAAAGCCATGATATGTTTCACATTTTAAGAGGATCACTCTGGCTGCTGTAGTGAGATTAGGCTATAAAGGGGTAAGGATAGAAACAAGGAGAACTGTTAGGGATGTGGCAGGATTTTAACCTTGCGCTATTGGTATTTTGTTGTGGGGGCCTGTCCTGTACGTTGTGGGATGTTTAGCAGTACCCCTGGTCTCTACCCATTAGATGTCTCTCCCCAGTCATGACAATCAAAAATGTCTTCACATATTGTCAATGTCCCCTTGGCAGACTGTAAAATTGCATATCGTTGAGAACCACTGGAATACAGTAATCTAGGTTAGAGATGATGGTGACTTGGATTAGGATGATAGCAGTAGTAAGAGGTGGTAGGATTCTGGATGTATTTTTAATGTAGTATCATCCATGCTTTACTGGCAGATTAGATGTAGTTTGTAAGAGAAAAAGAGGCTCCAGGATTTTTAGTTTGAGCAACTGAAGGATGGAGTTACTGTCACCTGAGATGAAGAAGTCTGCAAGAGGAACAAGTTTGAAGGGGATTGGACATCCAGAGGTCAGTTGGATGTGTTAAGTTTAACATGTTTATTTAACTTCAAAGTGGAGACATTGAGGAGGCAGTTTAGTATGCAAGTCTGGAGTTCAGGAGTGAGGTCTGAGCTGGAGATACAAATCTGAGAGTTGTCAGCATATCAGGGTATTTAAAGCCATGGAAGTGGACTATGAGTGTAGATAGAGAATAGAAAAACCACCATTAAAATTTGGGGAGATAAGGAAGACCTACCAGTGAGACAGGAAAACCAAAAGATGGTAGTATCCTGGAAGCTAAATGAAGAAAGTGTAGTAAGGATTGCTGGTCATATCAAATGCTGCTTACTGTGTTCAAGAAACCTGAAGGTGAAGAATTGATTAGCAACACTGGTGACCTTGAAGAAACAGGTTTGGTAGAGTGTTATTACTCAAAGCAACCCTATATGACAGAGTAGAATTCACCCTTAGGGTTGCCTAGCCTGTAATCTTTATGGGAAACCTGGTGGTGCAGTGGTTAAACACTTGGCTGCTAACCAGAAGTTCAGTGGTTTAAACCCACCAACAGCTCTCCAGGAGAAAGATGTGGCAGTCTGTTTCTGTGAAGATTATAGCCTTGGAAACCCTATAGGGCAGTTCTGCCCTGTCTTACAGGGTTGCTATGAATTGGAATCAACTCAGTGGCAACAGGTTTGGTTCTTTGGTTTAGGTTATCTTTACAGGAGTTTTTATCTCCTCCTGGTGGGCTCCAGCTCTGGTGGTGCAGTGCCTAAGGCATTTGATTGCCAATCAGAAGGTTGATGGTTCAAACCCACCATCCGCTCTGCAGAAGAAAGACTAGGCAATCTACTTCTGTAAAGATTTACCCCCTTGGAAACCCAATGGGGGTTGCTCTAAGTCGGAATCGACTCAATGGCAGTGGGTTTGGTTTGGTTTTTGGTGGGCTCGAACCAGAATCTTTCAGTTAGCATCCAAGCAGCTTTATCACTGTACCATCAGGGCTCCTTTTTGGTAGAGTGGTAGGGGGGTGAAAGCCTGATTAGAATGGGTTTGTTGTTGTTGTTATGTGCCATTGAGTTGGACCCAATTCATAGCGACCCCTCCTTGGGTTTCCGAAGCAGTATCGCTACAGAAATAGATTGCCTAACCTTCCTTCCGAGGAGTGGCTGGTGGGTTTGAACCGCCAGCCATCTGGTTAGCAGTCAAATGCCTTAGGCACTATGCTACTAGCGCTCCTAGAATGGGTTTAGGAGAGAAATTAAAAATAGTGAGTACTATATAGATAGCACTTTCGAGGAATTTTGCCACAAAGGGCAGCAAAAAAAGTAAAAAAATAAAACCCTTTGCCATTGTGTTAATTCCTATAAGACAGGGTAGAACTGCTCTTTAGGGTTTCCAAGGCTATAAATCTTTATGGGAGCAGACTGCCAGGTCAACTGGGATCAAAAGAAGGGGGGTTTTTTAGGTAGAAAGAAATAATAGCATGTGTCCTGATAGGGCTGTGTACTCTCTAGTGAGAAGTCACTGGTGTCTAGAAGGGTAGACAGCAATGTTCCTGAGTAGCAGCTGAGAGGGTTGGGATCTGAACAATGATTGGAAGGACTGCCTTAGGAGCAGGTCATCCACCTATGATCTTGTAGTCAAGTGGACTTAGGAGGGGTTGGATTAGCATCTTTTTTTTTTTTTTACAAACGGCTAAGAGCTTATGTTTCTCATTGTTATTGTGTCTAGTTTTGGGGATGGGATTAAAATAAATACTGTACTGTACTCTGTGGAGTTTTCTTGAATGAATAATCCTTGAGCACATTTGCTAGATTCAGAGGTGGAAGTCTTTAGTAAATCCACTGAGGTAATGTAGAGAGGAGAAAGGCACAAGTTATAAACAAACATATTTAGCGTTTGCTCTTGAAGTACTTAAAGAAAAATTTGTTTTTCGTACTACATTTGATTAAACTGAATTAAAATCAGTATTCTTTGTATACATACCTGCAGGTGACAGAAAACAGATGCCATTCATTCATTCATTCATTCATACCTCTAATTTGTGTAGAAGCTAATGGTTTGGATGTATCACAGTATATTTAATGATGGATGTTTTATTTTATTCCTTGAAAGATCTGTATTGAGTCCTCTCATGTAGCAGACATTGTACTAGACCTCTGGTTATATAGTTGTGAACAAAACAGTCATGACCTCGTGGCCCTCACATTCTGGTGGAGGAGAGACAACAAATAATTAACAATAACAACAAAAAAAATTTAAACCCAGGGTGAATTAATAGAGGGCATCAAGTTTTTTCAGTTTTCTCTATAATGGTTCTCAGTGAACATCTTTGGATATATCTCATTATGTCACCAGTAGCTCAAACTCACCTTCCCAAAGCTGAATTTGTTGTTGTTGTTATATGCTGTGGAATCGGACCCAACTCATAGTGACCCCTCCTTGGGTTTCCGAGGCAGTATCACTACGGAAGTAGATTGCCCCATTTTCCTTCTGAGGAGTGGCTGGTGGGTTTGAACTGCCAGCCTTCTGATTAGCAGTCAGGTGCCTTAGGCACTACGCTACCAGAGCTCCCAACTTTAGCATCTTAGAAACCAACTTTTAGATTCACAGAGTCTCTCCGTGTTATTTCTTACAACTGCATGTGAATCTACAATGATCTTAAAATTAAAAGTTTAATTAAAACAAAACAAACCCAACCCTTCTTCTTGTGATCTCAGGTAATGGAACCATGGCAGGCACCTTGGAGTCAGCCTGGAATCCATCTCTCTAATTGCTTGCCCTCAACCTTCCTTCCCCCAACCTAGCTTCTAGTCAGGGCAATTCTTGGTTTCACATAGTCTGTCTCCTCTTCTTCATCCCTACTTCCTGGCTTTATGTAGACTCATCTAGTTCTCTTAGATGGATTTCTGCTAAGCCTTCAAGCTCCTAGAACAGCCTCTTAACTGAATTTCATGAGAATTAAGCTCTAATGCCCCATGGCAGCTTTGTATCTAGTGAATTAATTTCTCACTTAGGCATTTAGGATGGTATGATCTGTGTGCATTATTTGGGAGAATTGAGAAAATAGATAATTTTCTATAGGATTTTATTTATTGCATTATTCCAGTTTGGAAAGACTGCCCTGGCAAGTAAGCGCCAGGAGAGTGGGAACTTTGTTAATGTTCATTACTCAATCCTCAGTACCTAGAACAACATCTGCCACAGGAAGACTGTCAACAAATCTTTGTTGAATGAATGAATAATACAGACTTTCTGTCAGTGATGCTTCTTCTCTTCTGTTGTTAGGTACTGTTGAGTTGGGTCCAACTCATAGCGAGCCTATCGCAAAAAGGGTATGGAGGCGACATCTTCTGACCTCCTCTAATTTCACAAGAGAAAGACAGAACCACCATCAACAGCCCCAAGCTTAGTCCGATGAGGCCAGACATGCCGCCACCCTCCAGCCTTTTACCAATTCTGACACCAACCGTCCCTCCCAAGGCACTCGCTACTTCTCTGCAGTGGCCACACAGAACTCACAGACAATACTCACGATTATGGGGTTTATTTGGGAAGTAACGGGCTACAATTCAGGTCAGGATATAATTCTTTCATCAGGACAGTCTTCTCTCTGCTATGCCCTCAGGTGTGCCTCTCTGGTCCTTGGCTTCTCAACCTCGCCTCTGCCCTACTCAGGCAAATGTTACAAAGCTCTTTTAACTCTGCCGATAGGTATGCCTAGGTGTACCCCACTCCACCAGCAAGACTCCTGTCCAAGGGCACTCAGCTTTCTCACTCCATGGGCCAGTTAAGCCCGCTGCTCTGTCTTATGCCTCTTGGTTCCACTGCCAGGGGGTTTCTCTGCTGGGGTGTCTCTCTGCTGGAGCTTCTCTAACAAGGAGGAACAGCGCAGGGATCTCAGTCCAAGAAAGCACTCTATTTCATCTCCAGCTCTTCTCTATTGATGGCAGTGAGATCCCCTCTCTCCCTCTGTTGTTGTTGTGTGCCAATGAGTCAGACCCGACTCATAGCAACTCCTCCTTGGGTTTCCAAGGTGGTATCACTATGGAAGTATATCGCCCAACCTTCCTTCTGAGGAGTGGCTAGTGGGTTTGAACCGCCAGCCTTCCGGCTAGTAGCCAAGCGCCTCAGGCACTACTCTACCAGAGCTCCTTCTCTGCCTCTAGGAGGGTTTATTTTAAGCCTGGCAGAGTGACAAAACTAACCAATCCCAACATCAGAGTTCTACACACCTTACTTGCATGATCCTACCCAGTAATCCGGTGGGAGTTATAAGGATTATGGCTAGAAAAGCCATACCAAGTAATTCACTGCACCACACCTATGTATAACAGAACAAAGTATTGCCCAGCCCTGCACCTCAAGCTTCCTCCTCCTCTGCCTCCATTCATTCTTCACATTGTTGACTGTTCACTTTTTTTTTTTTTTAATTACTGTTTCATTGTGGTAACGATACATATAACAAAACATTTCCAGTTCAACATTTTTTACATGTACAATTCAATGGTGTTTTGTTCATCATGTTGTACATCTGTCACCACCATCCATTTCCAGATTATTCCATCACTATTAAGTGAAACTCAGTGCCCCCCGTGAGCAGTGATTCCCCATTTCCTCCTCCCTCCCACCCCTGGTAATCACTAATAACACAGTTTACTTTTTCTTTTTTAAACATAAGTTTACTTTGTCAGTACAAAACTAATCATGTCATTCCTGATTAAAACACATCAGGGTCCCTTCTCCCTGCAGTAAACTCTAAAGTCCTTATCATGGCATACCATCCGCCATAATCTATTTCTTTCTGCCGTTGTTCTCATCTCCCCACTTTCTAGGCACATCCCATGGGTTCAATAAATAGTGCAGTTTGTTGCTCTTTGCTTTTTGCCTGGGTGCTCCTCTTGGCCTCCAAATCCCTCCAGTCAACTCTTTCACATCCTCAAAAGTCAGCCTAAAAATACCTTTTAGAAGTGTTCTCCAATACTCCCAACCTGAGCTGGATATCCATGCCCTCCTCTGGGCTCCATTTATGATAATACTCAGTAAAGTTTTAATCATCTCTTTAAATGATTCTCTTCCCCACTGTCCTATGAGCATCTTGAGGGCATGGACCATGTCTTTTTTTGTGTTACTTCAGAACCCAGTTCATTCCCTAGTACTTTGGACAGGCACTTAGTAAATAGTGAATGAAGTAAGCTGAGGGCAGGGAGAGATTGGCCTTGGAATTAAAAATCACTGCCTTAGTTATCTGTGGAGCTGTGGTGGCATAGTGCCTAAGGCATTTGACTGCTAACCATAAGGTTGGCGGTCCTAGTTATCTAGTGCTGCTATAACAGAAACACTACAAGTGGGTAACTCTAATGAACAGAAATTTATTTTCTCACAGTTTAGGAGCTTAGGAGTCTGGACTCAGGGCGCCAGCTCCATGGGAAGGCGTTCTCCCTCTGGTGGCTCTGGGGAAAGGTCCTTGTCCTTGGTTCCTTAGTGGTCTTCATGTGGCATAGCATCTGTCTGCCCCCAGTTCTGCTTCTTTGCTTGCTTGTTTAATCTCTTTTATATCTCAAAAGAGGTTGATTTAAGATACACCCTATACTAATACTGCCTCATTAACATAAAACAACCCATTCCCAAATGGGATTATAATCACAGGTATAGGGGTTAGGATGTTCAACACATTTTTGGGGGAGACAGTTCAATCCATTATCAGTTACCTATAGTGAAAATCAGAAGTCAAGTGAAACATAGTACTTTCCTGATGGCAGGATAGGAGTAGAGTGACCAACCACCTGAGTTTGTCTAGGAATGCCCCACTTTTTAGCATTGAAAATTCTGTCTTTAGAATCCTCTCTGTTCTGGGAAAACCAAGACAATTGGTCACCCGATATAGCCATAACCATTGGATGGGCATAATCACCAGGCAGTGAATTAGGCTACATAATGAAGAGAGTCTTTCTCTTTCTTTCTCATTGCTCTCACTTCATACCTGTACTTTGGTGGTCTCCAAACTGGTCATGCTACTTCTTAGCCCTCCCCATGCATGGTAGCCTACTTACAACTTAGTATTATTCTTTTAAGACTCATTAATAACCTGTAATATGCAGAGGACTCAGCCTTGCTTTTGTCACTCACTGATGAAGTACTTACTGATGAAGATCAAAGACTATAACCTTCAGTATGGATTATACTTAAACATAAAGAAAACAAAAATCCTCACAACTAGACCAATAACCAACTATGATAAACAGAAAAGATTGAAGTTATTAAGGATTTCATTTTACTTGGATCCACAATCAATGCCCATGGAAGCAACAGTCATGAAATCAAACAACGTATTGCATTAGGCAAATCTGCTACAAAAGACCTCTTTAAAGTGTTGAAAAGCAAAGATGTCACTTTGAAGAATAAGGTGCACTTGACCAAGACCATGGTATTTTCAGTCACTTCATATGCATGCAAAAGCTGAACAGTGACTAAGGAAGACCAAAGAATTGATGCCTTTGAATTATGGTATTGGTGAAGAATACTGAATATACCATGGACTGCCAGAAGAATGAACAAATCTGTCTTGAGAGAAGAATGCTCCTGAGAAATGAGGATGGCGAGACTTGAGCTTGTGTACTTTAGACTGGACATGTCCCTGGAGAAGGATGTCATGCTAGGTGAAGTAGAGGGTCAGCAAAAAAGGGGAAGAGCCTCAAACAGATGGATTGACACCGTGGCTGGAGCAGTGGGCTCAAGCACAGCAATGACTCTGAGGGCGGCACAGGATCAGCGGCGTTTTGTTCTGTTACATAGTGTCGTTATGAGTCAGAACCACCTTAACAGCGCCTACAGCAATAACATTTTTAATGATAGGCTCCTTTGTATATTTTTCTAGTCAGAAACTAGCTGGCTTTCCGTGATACGCAGGCATAAAGCCTAAATCCTCTGTAGCCTGGCATCAAAGCCCTATAAGGCAGTATGGTCCAATAGTTTAAAACGTGGCCCTTTGAACCAAGACAATCTAGTCTTTAACTCTGTTGTTGTTGTTGTTATGTGCCGTCGAGTCGGCCCCGATTCATAACGACCCCTCCTTGGGTTTCCAAGGCAGTATCACTACGGAAGTAGGATTGCCCAACCTTCCTTCCGAGGAGTGGCTGGTGGGTTTGAACCGCCAGCCTTCTGGTTAGCAGGCAAGTGCTTTAGCCACTATGCTACCAGAGCTCCTTCTTTAACCCTAGCTCTGCCTTTTACTGATGACCTTATATAAATTATTTTACCTCTCAGTATCTTCATTCCCTCACCTGCAAAATGAGGCTAATAATAGCATCTCCTTAATGGGCTAATGTACAGATTAAGTATTTTGATATAGGTAGTATTAGTTTCCTAGGGCCACCATAACAAAATACCACAAACTAGGTGGCTTAAAACAAAATAAATTTATTGTCACACAGTTTTGCAGGCTAGTAGTCCAAATTTAGGTTGTCTATAGGGCCATGCTCTCGCTGAAGGCTCTAGGGAAAAATCCTTTCTTGCCTCTTTCTTAGCCCCGGATCCCTGGCAATCCTTGGTGATCCTTGGTGTTCCATGGCTGGCGGCAGCATCACTCTAACATCTGCCTCTATCTTCACATGGCCATCTTCCCCCTGTGTCTATGTTTCTTTTTCTCTTTTTGTAAGGACACCAGTCATAATTGGATTTAGGGTTCACCTGACTACAATATGACCTCATATTAACCAGTATCTTCAAAGACTCCATTTCCAAACAAGGTTGCATTCACAGGTATCAGGGATTAGGACTTCAACATATCTTTTTCAGGACACAAGTAAAGCATTTCAAATAGAACCCAATAAATGTTAACTGCTCCTCCCAGCCAGTCGTCAGCCTTATTGATCTTCCACTCTCTCTCCTATTTATGATTCTCAGCTCTAGCTAAAAGAGTCTATTGGTTTTCCAGCCATACCATGTGCATGTTTGAATTTTCACCTTCTATAAGGAGTATCCATTCCTCTCAACTTAAGTATTCCCCTTAAAATTAACTAAAGTCTAATGTTCTTTTAGCTTTTCCCTTACAGATTGCTCCCGTTTTTAGGTTATGTTTCACTTCTACCCAGGCTATTTGGCTGGCATGTAATCTGTGAGTACCAGCTTTTGGCACAAAAGGTACTCAATTGTTGATGGTGACGTTGAGAATTGATGCTGGGGCCAAGATGGAGGATGGGGGACAGTTCTTGGGATATTTGCACTCCAGCATGTTGTATTTATGGTCTCTCTTTTCCCAGCAGAGGCACCCCCTGTTGGAAGTGAAAGGGAAAAAGGCTTCTTCTCGACTACCTCTCCCAGGAAGCAGGCTCAAGAGGGGCCCTGACCAGATGGAGAATGCCTTAGAGCCTGAGAAGGTGAGCTGATTCAGAGAGCTGTGGATGTCTACGTGTGTGTAAACCAAGCAGGGAGGGTAGGGTAACTATGGATCCCATTCTTGTCTTTCCCCAGAAACGGATACGAGGCCTGGGCACAGTGTCCCAAATTGCCACATCCCACCCCAGAGCACCACCCCTAACTGTAGTACCACAGACACAAGGCCAGACTGCAGGTGGGTTGCTAGGACTGGACAGGGACCAACAGCCCGCAAGTCCAGGGCTCTCCAACTTACTTCATTCTTTTCTTTCAATTTTTATTTATTTTGAATAAGTAACACATCTCACCTGGTTCAAAATTCAAAAGGTACAAAGCTTGTTATACAGTGAAGTCTCCCTCCTACCTCATTTCCGTAGCCATCCAATTTCCCCCTACAAAGGCAAGTATGTATCCTTCAAAGATTATTCCATGGATGCTAAAGCAAATAGGGACATATTCCCTCGATTTTTTTTTTTTTTTTTTTTCTTTTTTCCCTACACAACTGATAGCATACTTTACACAGGGTTCTGCTCCCTGCTTCTTTTTGCTTATCTTGGTCCAACTATTGGCATAATAATTGGCCATTAGAAGCTGGCCAGACTTAGGGGAGGAGAGGAGTTAACTCATTTCTGATCCTCAGAAATGGCAACACTTCTGTTCCCAGCCTGGCCAGTGTACATGCCACCCTGAAGATGATTAATTGTTCTACTTTTTTTCCCTCTCCCATCTCCCGACAGCCCAGAAAGTCCCTAGGAAAACAGGACTGCGGTGTTCAACAGCTATTGCTACAGGTAATAAATATGACTTAAAAGCCGGACTGAGAGGGGGTTTGGATATGTGTGTGGGAGAATATTGAAGTTGGAAGGACACTGGTCCTATAATCCCCCATGTCAACTCCCTAATTCCCTAGTGTCAAAGAGCAAGAAGCCAGTTGCTGCTGTTCCTGCCCAGAAGCCTGAAAGTAGGTAACAAACATACCTATTGGATGAGAGGGTAGGCTGTTGAGATAGGGGAAAGGAGGTGGTGAATACCTAGAAAAATCTATTATCTATTTGGTATTTTTCCTATCTGGAAAGGAAGACCATAGATGTGGCACTAGGTCTGGGGGCCCTAAATGCTAGAAGGACTTTGTCCTTTGTCACTGACCTCTGTCTTTTCCGTACTCATCTTAGCATCAGCTGTTCCTCCCATAGTGGGAGGGAAGAAACCTAGCAAACGTCCAGCCTGGGACTTAAAGGGTCAGTTAGGTGACCTAAATGTAGAGCTGAAACGCTACCGTGAGAGGACTCAAATGTTGAACCAGGAGAACCAACAGCTGCGAGCCCAGCTTGAAGAAGCTCAGCAACAGGCCAAGACCCTGGGGGAAGAACGCAGGACTTTAGAAGAAGAGTTAGCCAGGGTGCGAGCTAAGGCAGAGCAAGGCCAACAGGAGCTAGGGAACCTGAGCGCCCGTGTGCTGGAGCTGGAAGAGCGGCTGGGCACACAGGAGGGCTTGGTGCAAGAGCTTCAGAAAGAACAGTTGGAATTGCAGGAGGAGCGGAGAGGATTGGCTACCCGGCTGGAGGAGCAGGAGGTAAGGGCTAGATTCTCAACAAATGCTAACCCTTTTTTTTGGCACAGGATATACAACCCCCACAGACACACACCTTCCAGGTTCCCCTGAAGCCTCTTTTGTCTCAGAATCCCTGACCACCTACCTCCAGCAGTATACCTCTGTCTTCTAGCCATCTCCACCCCAGTCTACTCCTGACTGTCTTGCTTTCTGCTCCATTGCTCCCTATTCTCAACTCTGTTTTCATAGCTCATGCCTAGTCCTCCATCCCACTCTTTTTCTTTTAGGTCACCATCTTGATCAAAAATTGCTATGGCACTCCCTTTCCCATTTGTCCCTTTCTTGGTGAGCACCAACTGGATTAAATTATTTGCAGTCCCTCATATGACTGAACTCACTTTTGCATTTTGCATATGGGGTCCCCTTTTTCTGGAATTTTCTTTCTCTTCTCCATTCCCTTGGTTCACTCCTATACTTTTGGGTCTCAACTTAGATATCACTTTTCTTGTGCCCCTCCTGGATATTCCCATATCAATCCCTATCCTAGCACGAGTCCCTATTTCTTTATGTCTCTTTTCCTCACCAGACCGAATTCCTTGGGAGCAGGGACCCCACCTTCACCCCATCTTGGCCCTGTGACTTGTTCTTATTCTTGGTTTTATCTTACTCTTTCCATATGTTCTGCTCTGGGCAGAGAAGGCTGCAAGCATCAGAAGTGGCTCTGTCAAGCAGCAGAGCAGAGGTGGTATCTCTGCGCCAGGAGACTGCAACCCAGGTGGCTTTACTGACCGAGCGAGGAGAGCGTCTTCATGGACTGGAGATGGAGCGCCGACGACTACATAATCAGCTGCAGGAACTCAAGGGCAATATCCGTGTATTTTGCCGGGTCCGCCCAGTCCTTCCAGGGGAGCCCACCCCGCCCCCTGGCCTCCTCCTGTTTCCTGCTGGTCCTGGTGGACCTTCTGATCCTCCAACCCGTCTTACCCTCTCCCGGTCTGATGAACGGCGTGGGACCCTGAATGGGGCGCCAGCCCCTTGCACCCGCCATGACTTTTCCTTTGACCGAGTATTCCCCCCAGGGAGTGGACAAGAAGAAGTGTTTGAGGAGATTGCCATGCTTGTCCAGTCAGCCCTGGATGGCTATCCAGTGTGCATCTTTGCTTATGGCCAAACAGGCAGTGGCAAAACCTTCACAATGGAGGGTGGGCTTGGGGGAGACCCCCAGGTAGAAGGGCTGATACCCCGGGCCCTGCGGCACCTCTTCTCTGTGGCCCAGGAGCTGAGTGACCAGGGCTGGGCATACAGCTTCGTGGCAAGCTATGTAGAGATCTACAATGAGACCGTCCGAGACCTGCTGGCCACTGGGGCTCGGAAGGGACAGGGAGGCGAGTGCAAGATTCGTCGGGCTGGGCCAGGGAGTGAGGAGCTTACTGTCACCAATGCCCGATATGTCCCCGTCTCCTGTGAGAAAGAGGTACAGACCCATGGGCACTGGGACTGGGAAATGGGAAAGAGTGGACAGGGTGACCTAGGAGGTAGATGGAGAAAAGAGCAAGAGAAAGTTGAAGGATAAAGGATGAGATTAGAGTGAGGGGAGGTGGCCACATTCAGTTTTAGCTGGTGGGCTTTAAGGTAGATGTGCTTTAACAGAACCAGGGGGCGGAATGGAGTGATGCAGCTGCTGAAGCAAGAGGGTTTGCCTGTAGCATCTCAGGTTTTCTATCTTTCCCCTTCTGCTCCCCATCCCCAGGTGGAAGCCCTGCTCCATCTGGCCTGCCAGAACCGGGCTGTAGCCTGCACAGCCCAGAATGAACGATCATCACGCAGCCACAGTGTGTTCCAGCTGCAGATCACTGGGGAGCACACTAGCCGGGGCTTACAGTGTGGGGCCCCCCTCAGTCTGGTAGATCTAGCTGGGAGTGAGCGGCTAGACCCTGGCTTAGCCCTTGGTGCTGAGGAACGGGAACGGCTTCGGGAAACGCAGGCCATTAACAGCAGCCTGTCCACACTGGGGCTGGTCATCATGGCCCTGAGCAACAAGGTGGGAATATTTGGAGGGGGCACATGAGACCTGGGGGGAGGTTGGGTCTGCCTATGCTAAACCCTTCTCTGTCCTAACCACTTGTTCTCCCTCAACCCTCTAGGAGTCCCATGTGCCCTACCGGAACAGCAAGCTCACCTACCTGCTACAGAACTCTTTGGGTGGCAATGCTAAGATGTGAGTGAAAGGGGCAGATGGAAGGTATGGGGTAGGCACTGAGATGGGACAGATGTTCAGGGTTGGGAAAGGAAGAGAGCTGGTCCAGCCTCTGTCCAGCCATCGATAATGAGGTTTGGCCCCCTCTTGTCTTTTCACAGGCTCATGTTTGTGAACATTTCCCCCCTAGAAGAGAACAGCTCCGAGTCCCTCAATTCCCTGCGTTTTGCCTCCAAGGTAAGAGTATCACTAAGCCCAGGCCCTCTCAAGACCCCTTCTCAATTACAACCCTTTCTGTCCTCGGGGACAGGGAGGGAAGGGGTGTCATGTAGCATGTTCATCCAGAAAGGATTTACATTTGCTTTAGCCAGATATCTGGGGCTTTACCCACCTTGATCCATTTTAAAATATTGGCTTTTGGGTTTTTTTAAAGTAGGTTTTTTAAAAGGTCAAACTATATAGACAGCTATCCACAACACTTGAAGTTTTGCTACCAACCCCATTTTCCTACCCCACCTGCCCTGCATACAGGGTACTTTTTATCATTTTCTTATTTATCCTTCCAGTTTCTTTTTGCAAATACAAGCTATATACATGTTCTTATTCTCATTTTTATGTGAAAGCTCTCTTAACCTTCCCCTTTCTCATATGTGGGTGTGTGTGTGTGTATACACACACACACACACAGGAGCTCTGGTGGCGTAGTGCTTAAGGCATTTGACTGCTAACCAGAAGGCTGGCAGTTCAAACGCACCAGCCACTCCTCAGAAGGAAGATGGGGCAATCTACTTCCGTAGTGATACTGCCTCGGAAACCCAAGGAGGGGTCGCTATGAGTCGGGTCCGACTCGACGACAGTAAGTCGTCACACACACACACACATAAACACACACAAACACACATATATACGTATCACTATAATGTTAAGCAAAACAACTAAGGGGTAGAAATACCTATATATTTCTGCCCCTTATTTTTTTGCTTAATGATATAGCTCCAAGAGTACCCCCATCAACACACAGATGGGTCTGTTTGGCATACCACTGTGTGGCTGCATCAAAATTTATCCACCAGTTCCCTCTGCTGGAGACTTGGATTTATTCCATTCTTTTACTATTACAAACAAGGCCATTCTGATTAACCTTGCACATATATCATTTTGTATTTGTTTAGTTATATCTATGGGAGAAATTCCTAGAAGTGAGATTGCTGGATCAAAAGAGACATGAGTTTTTCGAGACCATTCCAAAAGGTGTGGATTCAGGTTCCAAACTCCATGAGAGTCAGTTAGTTGATTGCCATGAATTTTTGAGGTTTGTGCTCTCTCCAGCAGTCAAGTGGACATCAGAGAACTAACTAGACCTAGAACCAGCCTGAGCTTACCTCCAGAGACCCTATTTCATTATTCTCTGAGGGCAGCCACTAGCATTAGAAGCTATGAGAGAGGTCTCAGGAAAACTGTTCTTTTGATTACTTTGCAATTTTGCAATTTTTTTTTTAATCTTACCTGCTCACAGGTGAACCAGTGTGTTATTGGTACTGCCCAGGCCAACAGGAAATGAAGATGGATCCAGATCCTTTGGAGGGGGGTGTTTGTCCATGTGTGCCTCTGTGTGTTTTGAGGGAGAGGGATCCTTCATGGGGAAGGCAGGGTGAGGAAGGCTGTGTACCAGGGCCTATCAAATAAAGACTTTTTTAAAAAATAAATAAATAAAGGTATTATTAGCAGATACCCAAGGAGGGAGATATTTTTCGTATCTAAAGATGGAAACCGTTGCTCTTCCCACTCTGGGGTGGGTGGGTGGGTGGGTGTGTGTGTGTGTTGAGGGCTGCAGTTTTCCTCCGGGATGGGCCTTCCGCTGAAGTGAGGGGAACTTCAGTTCTTTGTGGTTTTGGACTCTGGTCAGGCCTGCCTCCACTTCACCTAATGCCCCTTCCCTCGTCATATTCATGAAGGAAGTGTGTCCATTAGTTATTCATAGCCCCACCATGATCGCCACTGTTTTGCCCTGATCATCGGCCACGCCAGCCCCAGGCAGAAACTCCTTTGGTGGATGTGGGAACACGAATTGAGGGGCGGGGACTACCCGGCACTCCGCAAACTGCTGGCTTTTCCCGCCCTTTCCCAGCCTTCCTGTTCGAATCGCCAGGGTTCTGTCCTGCCGCCGCTCATTGGCCGGCTCTCGGTTACGTCATTGGCATTATCTCTACTCGTCCTTGCCCTAGCCCTCAAAGTCCGGGGCGGGACGTACTCGGGGAGCGGGAGCGCGCGCCCGCCGAATCCCTCGCGCCAACAGCCAACGGCCGCCGCCCCGTAAAGGAGGGGCTCAGTCTTCCCAGGTGCCGCGCGCGGGAGGGGCCACGCGTGCGCAGAAGCGCCACGGGGGGGGGAACCAACTTGCCACAGAGAGGGCGGGGCCCGGGGCAATGGCGAGAGAAGGGCGGGGCACTCGAGGGAGGAGGGCGTGGCGGGGGCAAGGGGAAGGGTGAATGGAGGGCGGTGCCATGAGCTGGGGCCGGAGGGCGGGACTTTGAGTAACCAAGTCGCGGGGGGGGGGGGTAGTTAACGGATGTGGCATGGGGTGGGGGACCAGACCCGAGGCAGACTGCCAGGAGGGGGGATTCCCTCTTGCCCCGCGGGCGGGTCTCCCGTCGGAGGAAGAGGCTGTGGGGATTCCCTCTCCCTTCAGGTCCGACTGTCCGCCTGCCCCAGCCGCGGAGGGGGCCCGGTGCGCTCAGCGCCCTCCAGGCTTGCTGGAGGTGAGGGAGGTGGGGTGAGGTGGTGCCCGCCCCCCCACGGCTCCTCCTTTCCCCCGGCCCTCCCCTCCCACTACCCTCCCCCTAGTCGGTCCGTCCCTCCCCTCCCTCCCCCCGCCGCCTCCTCCTGCCGCTGCCGCTGCTTTGGCTGCTGCGTCATACGCCCCGGAGCCGCCGGGACGGAGGGGCTGGGCCTGGGGACCCCCCGGCTTTTGCCTGCACGCCCTCCGACGCCCGGACGTTCCCTCCCCGCGCGGGGGGCTCGCCTAGATCTCCCACGGCTGCTCCTGCCGGGCTCCCGTCGGCCCCAGCTGTCACCGGTAAGGAGGCTACAGGAGGCGCCAGTGTGTGGGGGGGGAGCAGGGAGCCGGGGGTCGGCGCGCAGAGCGCAGGCAGGGGAGCCCACGCCGCCTGGGTATGGGGTTGGCCAGGCCGACTCAAGTCCCGTCTTGGACTCGCCCGTCGTGGGGAATAGAGACGGAGATGGGACACGCCCCCCTCCCGGGGCACTCAGGGAAGTTGTCTAACCCAGGGGCAGGGAGCCCCAAATTTGAGGGTGACCTAACATAACCCGGCACCAGGGTGATTGTTCTGAATGAAACCCGCGGGCCTGGGAAGGCCGTCGTTTCTGAGAGACTCTGGAAAATATCTCCAGGAAAGCTCCCAAAACACATCTTTGGACAACCAGGCACCCCGGTTATGATACCTCTAAACAGCATGGGAAGGTGACTGTAGGAACTGAGTAACCTTTTTTCTTCAACCATCATTTCTCCTAAAATCACAAGGCCAGGATATAATATCACAGGGGAGCACTGAAAGCTGGGAACCTGGAGAATGAGCTTGTGGAGCAAGGAAGGATGTCTGGGAGGGCAGAGCTAGGCACCAGAGTTGGGAGAGCTGGAGTCAAGAAGCTAGTGCAGGGTGACCCAGGTGTCTTAGGGATTTAGAGACTTAAGGGCACAGGTGCTTGAACTCAAGGCAGAGAAAATGGGGAGGGATTCTCAGCATTCATAGCCTTCTCCCATCCTGTTTCTGGCTAGGCCCCCCCAGGATGCAATGGCGCAGCCCCCCCGGCTGAGCCGCTCCGGTGCCCCCTCTCTCTGGGATCCAGCTTCCCCTGCTCCCACCTCAGGCCCCAGGCCTCGACTTTGGGAAGGTCAAGATGTGCTGGCCAGATGGACTGATGGGCTGCTGTATTTGGGGACCATCAAGAAGGTAAGATTTTTGATCCCTGACCTGTCATCTACTTCCCATTCCCTTTATTTAATTCTGCTTCCCATTTCATCCTCTGGCTTTACCACTGCAGGTAGACAGTGCTCGGGAAGTGTGTCTGGTGCAGTTTGAGGATGATTCCCAGTTTCTGGTTCTATGGAAAGACATTAGCCCTGGTGAGACCCTAGAGGCCTGAGAGTGTACATCCCATGGAGAACGGAAACCTGGTTGGGGGGAGGGAGGCAGAGGAAGGCTTAAGGCCCTGACCCGGACACTGTATTCCTTTACAGCTGCCCTCCCTGGAGAGGAACTCCTCTGCTGTGTCTGCCGCTCTGAGACCGTGGTCCCTGGAAACAGGCTGGTCAGCTGTGAGAAGTGTCGCCATGGTAGGAATGCTGGTCCAGCTTGCCCGAGGCCTTCCAGGCTGCCTTTGAATCCTCCCTCCTGCATACATCCTTATGCCACCTGTCCAGTCTGAATCCCCAGGGCCCCTGAGTCCCCAGGTCACTACTCTAACCAGTTTCCTCAACCCTATAATCTTGCTCCCTTCCAACCCAGGGAGAGGCAGCCATGGAATGGAAGATGATGTGGGCTTTGCAGGTAGAAGGTAGTTCAAATACACCCTCTTCTACACCCATCCATATGACCTTGGGCAAGTCCTTTAACCTCCAGCAATCTTAGTTCCCTCACCTGTAAAATAACTACTCTTCCCCTCCAGCAGGACCATGGTCAAAGATTGAGATGGATAAGACTATTCAAATCCAAGTGCCTAACACACATAGGTATATAGTACAATAAGTGGTCTATTATCAACATTATCATTATTCAGCTTATCACCAGGACTGCCATGTTCCAAGAGCCCCAGCTCCTGGAGAGGGAGAGGGCCCATCTCCCTGGGTCTGCCGCCAGTGTGTCTTTGCCATCGCCACCAAGGTAAAGGTACTTCCCTGTTACCTCTACTGAACTGGCCCTTTCCGTGAAAACTCTCCCAAGCCGCTCCTCTCCCTTTTGAACTCCTGCCTATTCTGTCTCCATAGAGAGGGGGTGCCCTGAAGAAGGGGCCCTATGCCCGAGCCATGCTGGGCATGAAGCTTTCTCTGCCCTATGGACTAAAGGGACTAGACTGGGATGCCGGACATCTGAGCAACCGGCAGCAGAGCTACTGTTATTGTGGAGGCCCTGGGGAGTGAGTATTGAGGGGTAGAGGGCTAATGAATTAATAACATGGGGTGTCCCAGGGAAGGCAGGAGAAAGAATGGGGGAGGGAAGTGCTGAGGGGAATGGGGATAGAGGTGACAAGCAGAGTTTGGGGAAGTTACGGGAGTGTCTAAAGGACACTCGTGTTGTGTTCCCCTCAGGTGGAACCTGAAAATGCTGCAGTGCCGGAGCTGCCTGCAGTGGTTTCATGAGGCCTGTACCCAGTGTCTGAGCAAGCCCCTTCTCTATGGTGACAGGTGAGATCAGGAAAGACTCCAGGAGCTGAAGGAGCCTGTCTTGCTCTGTGCTCCACTCACAGCTTCCACATGCTTTTCTTCCCTCAATGCTTCCTAACCTGTCTGTCTCATCCTTCCTTTTAAGTCCTCTCTAAAGTATAGTTTTCTAGCATAAGATGTGTTTTCTCTCTTGCCCATGTCCAGATTCTATGAATTCGAATGCTGTGTGTGTCGGGGGGGCCCTGAGAAGGTCCGAAGGCTACAGCTTCGCTGGTGAGCTGGGTTGAGCAAGACCTCAGTATAACACCTCTCAGCACCCCTAGTATTTTCACCCTTCATGCCCTAACCTCCCACCCCAGGGCCCCTCTGGCTTTTGTAATGCTTCTGTGACGTTGACAATCCTGTTACTCCAGGGTGGATGTGGCCCACCTTGTCCTCTATCACCTCAGTGTTTGCTGTAAGAAGAAATACTTTGACTTTGATCGGGAGATCCTCCCCTTCACTTCTGAGAATTGGGACAGTTTGCTCCTGGGGGAGGTAAGGGGTAGTGAAGCTTTGGTGCTTAGGGTGGGATAGGGAGATGTGACGGAAAAGAGAAGGGAGGGCACATTGCCCCATCTCATTTTCCTTCCCCTCCCCCAGCTGTCAGACACCCCCAAGGGAGAACGTTCTTCCAAGCTCCTCTCTGCTCTCAACAGCCACAAAGACCGGTGAGTTGGAAGGAGAAGGCAGCAAGAGGGAGGGATAGGAGAGAGTGAGCTATGGAAGCCTGGGAGGGAGAGGGATTGTAACTCATCTGGAAGATTCTCTCTGAAAGATTGACTATCAGCATTGTGTTGTTCTATGCCGTCGAGTCGGACCCAACTCATAGTGACCCTTCCTTGGGTTTCCAAGGCAGCATCACTATGGAAGTAGATTGCCCAACTGTCCTTCCAAGGAGTGGCTGGTGGGTTTGAACCGCCAGCCTTCTGGTTAGCAGTCAAGTGCCTTAGGCACTATGCTACCAGAGCTCCCACTATTGGCATTAGAAGGTCCTTTTTCACATAGCATTGACCCTGTATCATTTTTCTTCTTGCCCCAGTTTCATTTCGGGGAGAGAGATTAAGAAGAGGAAATGCTTGTTTGGTCTTCATGCTCGGACCCCTCCCCCTGTGGAGTCCACTGGAGATGGAGCCCCCACCAGGTCACTGGTCCAGGGGGAATGGGGAAAATCCTCAGGGCATTAGTCTGGGGATATAAGTTTATAGAAAAGGGGGGGATGTCTTTGGGGTACCAGGGAGGGGGCTGGGGGGATAAGGAGGCCTCTTACAGCTTCCCTTCAGGGCAGGGCCCTGGGGGAGGGGTCTCACGTCCCCTGGGGAAGCGCCGGAGGCCGGAGCCAGAGCCCCTGAGGCGAAGGCAGAAGGGAAAAGTGGAGGAGCTGGGGCCACCTTCGGCAGTGCGCAGTCACCCCGAGCCCCGGGAGCAGAGGGAGCGGGCTCGTCTGCAGAGGGCGCTGCAGGTACAGAGGCACATGGGGTGAGCGGTGGGATGTAGGAAAGGATCAAGGATTCTCTCTCAGTCCTTTGCCCTTTTTTCTAGGCCTCAGTATCTCCATCACCCCCCAGCCCTAACCAGAGTTACCAGGGCAGCAGCGGCTACAACTTCCGGCCCACAGATGCCCGCTGCCTGCCTAGGTGAGTCTGCCCCTCAACCAGATGTGCTTTCTTGGAAATTCTCCTCCAGTTGTTTACATCCTCTGAACTTCCTCACCGAGATCATATTTTCCAAAATTCCCTTCCTCTTACCCTTGGCTAGGACCTGCTTTTTGTCCTAGAAAGATTTCTAAAGCCAGTGTCTGGTAGTCATTACCCTGGAGATAGCAGTACCCTGGGCACCAGTGTTTAAGCTGCCTTTCCAAGAAAGAGGGCCTGTTCCCCTGCTTTAGGACCTGACATTCACCCTCCCAACCCTAGCAGCCCCATCCGGATGTTCGCTTCCTTCCATCCCTCTGCCAGCACCGCAGGGACCTCTGGGGATGGAGAACCCCCAGACAGGTGAGAATCTGCCTTCCTTTACCTGTGATACTCTTTGATCTCTGTGCTCTCAAGTTCCTCTAACCGTGCTCTACCAACAGAGGCTGCATGACCATTTCTTTATGTCTCTCTGATCCACACTTGGTCTCCATTTCTGGTCAGTCCTTTCCTGCATCTATCTGGGTTCAAAATTGCCTTCTCTCCCCAGGTCATCCCTGGAACTTCACATTGGTTTCCCCACAGACACCCCTAAAAGTGCCCCCCACTCGATGACTGCCTCATCCTCCTCAGTCCCAGCTCCTTCCCCAGGTCTTCCTAGACGCTCAGCACCCCCTTCTCCCCTCTGCCGTAGTTTGTCTCCTGGGACTGGGGGAGGAGCCCGAGGTGGGGCTGGCACAGGCTACCTATCCAGAGGGGACCCTGTCAGGGTCCTTGCTAGGAGAGTACGGCCTGATGGCTCTGTGCAGTACCTGGTTGAGTGGGGAGGAGGGGGCATCTTCTGAACAACCTGCCTCTGCCTACCTCCCCATTCACACACACCGGCACTTTCATACCCTGACCTCACCTGCAGCTGGGATGTACCTGGGAGGTAGGGAGGTAGGTCTCCCTCCTGCCTAGGCTGGAATCTGGATGGAGGTGTGGGGAAGAGGCTCTTTCTTCTCTACTCACTTCATGATTCCTGGACCCCCCCCATCCTTCTTCCCATTTCTTTTGATGTTATTTTGTTACAGCTTTTTAAATATTTTTAAAAATTATTTAACCCCTGGGGGCAGAAACTGAGGAGGGGGAATGATAAGGGATCCCAGACTCTGTATGATTGAAATAAAGAGAAATAAACAAATTTAGCAGCCCTGAGTCATTTTGAACATGGAGAACACAGGGACTAGACTCATTTCTAATTTCGCCCCCCCCAACAAATTTGCATACATGATATGGAACAAGACAAAAGGCAGAGAACCAAAGGTAGGATTTATTGGGGATCTAGTCCTCACTTGGCAGTCAGAGCACTGATACATATGAGGGGATCATGGTAGGACTGTGCTGGAGTCAGAAACGATCTCGGTGACCTGGCGCACCCACTGCAGATATGGAGAGTTCCCCTGTTCCACAGGCAGTGCAATCACCTCTGCAACTTCATAAGGGTGTACAGAACTGCAAAAAAGGTTTTGAGGAGTAAGGATCACTCAAAGATTTACCCAGGAGACCCCACCTCCTCTATACAAGCACTAAAGGGCTCAGCAAGTTCTCACCGAACAAAATCTGTCAAAGCTGGAACCAAGGAACTTTGAGTTTTAATCATCTAAGGGGCAAGGAGAAATACAGTTGAGTCAAAAGAGTGCGGTACATTTCAGGATCTCAGATAAGGGACAGATCAAAGGGATGCCAGGGAATTGGGGAGGTTTTTCCTCACCATCAGAACCTCACTGTCCTCCTCAATCTTTCCTTTCCACTCATAGCTGAAAAGGTTGAGAAAGAGTGTGTTGTGAGGAACAAAGATCCATCCCAGGTAAAAGGCTCCCTCTGTCCCCAGAGTTAGGCCAACCCCCCAACTCCCGTTACTCACATGGATGTAATCTGAGGGATGAGATTGACACAAGCTGCTAGGCGCTTCTCCACCACAGCCCTAAAGGTGAAGAGACAGGCCCATTCAGAGCTCCCCCTGACCTGGGTTTTTGAACTGGCAGCTCAGAGACAAGCTTCCAGAGTTGGAGAGGGTAGGAAGCAACGGAGGGCACTCCTCCCCCATCTCTAACTGTTCCCTTCATGATCATCCATCCCCACTCCCATCGACATCCCCACCTGGCGATCTCCTTGGCGACCTTCTCATTGGGGCAAGTAACAAAGGCTGCTGAGACCGAGCCGGGGACGTAGCTGGAGCTCGAAGCCGACGAGGGCTGGGATGGGGTACTTCCAGAGGCCATGGAAAGCAAGGCTCGGGGTAGCAACAAAAGGCGGGAGGCCACAGGCAGCAGCGCCGGCATCCAAAGAAGCGACAGGAGCAGAGCAGCCTGAGAGCGGGGGAGTGAATTCAGTCTCTCTCTTCAAATACCCCAGGAAACTGCACCGAGGGAATCCCTGAATAGACACCCTGACATTGCATTCCCTCTCCTGCAGCTCGAGAGAATTTGTCCCTGTAACTTGGAGACAGACTTGGAAAACTAGGGTAAAGACTCAGTTTTCACTCCCTCCTTAGCTGTCAAGTTCTGGGATTTTGGGTGAGGGTAGTGGTCAAGACTTGGAGGACCGGAAGGGATGGGACCGGTCACTCACCACTCCGCCGAGCAGGATCGCGGGAGCCCGCCCCCCCCTCATGCAGCCTCTGCTGGTAGAACAGGGTTAAATATCAACGGTCACACGTTACACAGAGAAAAGACCCCAAACCCAGGAAGAGTACACTTTTCTTACCTGGGCTGCAACCACGTGATAAGAAAACAGCTCACACCACGTGACAGTAGAAGGCGGACCACCCGCAGCCAGCCAATCGCAGCAGTCACATGGTCCGGTTTGCCCCGCCTCCTGATAAGGGAGGAGGGAAGAGAAATTTGACCAATCATCAGTCGGATCTGCAAACGTTCACGAAATGTCACGCCCACTTCCGCATAAACCGGAAACGGCCTGTTGCTGGCTGAGGAGAGCCTCTGCGGCGTTCCACTGTCACGTGAGGGGGCTGGTCCTCTCAGGCGACGGTACCTCATTGAGTGACACGAAGAAGCCAATGGCAGCGCAGGCCAGCAGGCCATGTGAAGAGAGAACAGATGCTGGGAAAGGGGGGGCCTAGAGACCCCGCAGACCCAGTGCGTCTGGTTGTGGCATGGGGAATCATCCCTAGAATGAGCTTAGTTAACAGCCCCTACAGTTTCTGAGGCTTTAAGGAGTGAGAGGGGTCTGAGAAGATTGAACCTCAGGGGATAAAGAGAGGCCCCCCCCCCTCCCCGAACTTTTGGTTTAGGACTGACATGTTCCTGGGTTTGGGAAAGAACAACTATGATCCGAGGAGAGGCCAGCTGGCCCTGGGTAGGGGGGAGTGATGAGGCAGGCACGGAGCATGGCAAGACATGACTGGATCAGGAATGAGACATTGTAAAAGGATAGATCAAGCCTGTAAATGGGCTAGAGAATGAAGAATGAAGCTAAGGGCTCCTCAGCTCTCTTAAGTTAAACCCCAAAGCTGGTGGTGGATCAGAGGAGAGAAAAGAAGAGGGCACAAGGAAGTAGTGATGGTCCTTTGGTCCCGTATTCCCTGCCTATTCCACTCTCCAGGACAGGTCCACCTCTCAGCCTTGGGTCTCCTTCCCTTAGTCCATCCCCCTAGGAGCCAGGACCTGCCCTACATTCCTTCCCTGGGGCCTATGCACATCCTGTGACCCAAAAATGGAGAGAGGGGCCAATGAAAAGCAAGAGAGGTGGGAGGAGGCAGCAGAGAAAAAGGCTCTGGCCACTCCTCATACCCAGCAATCCCCTTCCTACCAGGGTCTAGGATCACTGGTTTGGTGGATAGGTGTAACTGGGAGTTGCCCAAGACTATGTCAGGGTTCACTTATACTTGTCTCTAGGGCTGGGGTCTCCTTAAGATCTGTTTTTCATTTTGAAGTCTGTCTCTGAGATGGATCTCTGTGGGGTCTTTCTCAGAACTGCGTTTCCTTTTTTTATTGGGAGGGGGGAGTATTTTTCTGGATCTGTATGGCTCTTTAAGGTCTTTAAAACTCTTTATGAGTTTGGGGTCTCCTAAGTTTGCCATCCTGGGCAAACTCTATCCCCAATTCCCTGGCATCCCTCTCTCCCTCCCTGAGTCTGTAATTTCTTTGGGTCGGCAGTTTCTTGTCTCTGTGATATAAATCTGGGGTCTTTGAGGCTGAGTTCTCTAAAACCTAGTTTGGGGTCTGGGTTCTTTCTGAATCTGGGGTGTCAAGTTTTTCTTTTAGTCCTGATCTCAAGTCTTGGTCCCTGAAATCCCCTTCTCAGGGTCTGAAGTTAGATTTCTGTGGATATGGAGAACCTTTTTGAGATTAGACTCTCAGGTTTTGGTCTTTGACTCCTCTCCCTGGGGGGGGGGGGTCTTTTCTAAAATCAGGGGTCTCTTTTCTTCTAGATTAGGGTCTGTGCCTCAGATTTACCCTCTTCCCTCCCCCTGAAGTGGGGGCTGAGGTCTTAGATCCCACCTCTCTGAATGCAAAGGACCTTTCTCTGTGGGTCTGGGGTCTCTCAGACTCAGGGTTTGGGGTCTGCATCTTCAGAGATGCTCTCCCTCTCTGGAATGATTTCTAGTCGGGGGGTCTCTCTCTCTAGGGCTCCCTGAGTAGGGGTGGGGGCTGCAGAGTCTCTCCCTCCTCCTCCTCCTCCTGCTCTCTCCTCTCTCGCTCGCTCCCCCGCCCCCCTCTCTCCCTCTCTCCCTCTCTCTCTCTCTTTCGGCTGCTGCTGCTGCCGTTGGCTTCTATTCTCCTCCTCCTCCTCCTCTCTCCTCCTCTCTGCTCCTCTCTGCCTCTCTCTCCCCCTCTTTCTCTCTTCTCTTTCTCCCCCGTCCCCCCCGCCCCCTCCCCCCAGGCCTGATGAGCAGGTCTCGCGCCTCCATCCATCGGGGGAGCATCCCCGCGATGTCCTATGCCCCCTTCCGAGGTACGTTGGTGGGGGGAGGGGGAGGGCCAGGTGGGGGGGCAAGAGGGGGAGGGGGAGGGGCAGGGGGCGGGGGTAGAGCTGGGGCTTGGGAGGGGAGAGGCTGAAATCAATCGAGGGAGAGGGGAGGACTGGGAAGACAGGGGTGGAAGCAATAAGGAAAGAGGGATTGGAGGCCAGGGGGATATGGGTAGACAGGGGACGGAGGGGCCAGGAAACAAGCCTTGAAGGGGGGCTCAGGGGAAAATGATGAAGGGGGAATAGAGCCAGAAAGCGGTGAAAAGGTAGAAGGATAGGGTTAGGGGGTGACCTGCAGAGATAATTTGGGGGTGGGTGCTGAGAAATGAGGAAAATATCAAGAAAATAAGAGGAGCAGAGTCTTAGGAGAGGGGCTAGGAGGGGAAAATGAAAACATTGGGGTGAAAGGAGAGGCCAAAAAGACAGCGGGGGGGGGGAGTACAGTGGGGGCTCAGAGAATGGTAGGGAGTAGAAAAAGAGAGGAGGATGGAAGGAGAGAAGAAGGGGCCAGATGGAGAGAGAGGGAGGCTAGGGAGGGTAGATGGAGGGTCCAGATGGAGGGAAGAGAGAGAGGGAATGGGTTGGGGGAGGGGGACACTAGGGCAGGGGGAGGGCCAAATTATGTGTTTGTTGTGGGGGAGGGGGGTCAGATACTAGTAAGATTGAGTGATGGAAGTAGGGGCAGGTTAGGACCCTGCCCCAAACTCTGACCTTCATTAAGGCCCTTGACCAACGAAACGTAACCCCTGGGGTCTTATCCATCCCTTCACTTCACCACTTTTATTCCCCCTCCCCCATCCTTCTTTCCATACCCCCTCCCTCCTCTGGTGTCCATCACCTATATCTTTCCCCCCATATGGTGTCCGTTCATTATATGAGTCCCCCTTCTGTCCTTCCCCTATATCAGTCCCTCTCTGGTGTCCATTCTCTCACTCCTTTTCTATCTGGTAGCTCCCTTGTATCTCTACCACCTCTCCACTCCTTCCTTCTTGACCCCCATGCCCTAACTCCCCTATTGGGTCCACCTTAGTTTCTCTTCCCCATGCCCAGTTGGGCCCTTTTGGTGTATCTCTTTGTCCTTAGGGATTTCCCATCACCCATCATCTCTGTCTCCTTTTCTCTTTATTATTTATTTATTTATTCCTCTTATTTCCCCCCCAGCCCATTCTCTATTCCCTACACACTCATCTTGTCACCACAGGTGTGTGCCTACCCAGTTTCTCTTAATGCCCCAGCTCTTATCACCCGTTCCTCTGGTCTCCTTGGAGATCTGGGGTGCACAGACACTGAGGTTTTGATGGTTGAAACAGTCTACACGAGATCCCCATCTGAGCCCTGCTGAGATTTCTCATCCTAGTGGATCTTTCCCTTCCTCAGCCATGTTCCTTGCCCTTTGCATCTGTCTCTCAGAATCATTCAGCCACAAGTCCAGACAGTCTGAGTGTGAATGTATGTTTGTTTCTGGACTTGCTTCTAAGCTAAGTTCCTAGTGTCCTTTCCTGCTCCCAGGAGGAAAGTGCATCCTGAAGTCTAACTTGCCTGAAGTCTAACTTGCTCCCTTTGGCTGCAGCCTGAACCAGCCCCTCCCATAATGGTTATGTATATCAACAGATTTCTCCTCTGGGTGTACAAAAGTCTGAGTGCTGTGGGCATATAATCTGCAGTGTGTGTGGTCTCAGAGCCTAAGTATGGGTTATCTCTTTTTTGAGAATACTGGTTAGAGTCTCTAAGATGGCACTGAGATAGTTTCAAAGTATTGAGGTTTCCAGATAATGGGCATCTGTATCCTGGGGCTTTATCTCTGACTGATCTGTAGGTTGGGTAAATTAAAGGCCGTGTTTTATACAGAAAGGGACCTGAATTTTAAATTATCTACCGTTCAGGGTTATTCAGTTGGAATAAAGCCCAAAGACCAATTCTCCTGCAATATCCATTGTTAATTTTCCTATTCGAGAAAGAATTTGATTTTTCTTCCTCTAAACCCTCTCACATTCAGATACCTTAAATCTGATTTCTATTCCTCTTCTGTAGCCTATTTTCTATCATTTTGATGTCATTGATCTGATTTCTCTTACTTCCATAGGGCTTGTCTCCTGAATCCTTGTGATGATGTGCAGCATTGACGTTTAAAGTAGAGGCAGTTTGCAGGGAAGAGGTTCAAGGCAAGAATAGCAAAGTTTGGGAAAGGAAAAACTGGGGGCATCTCTGAACAAGGGCAACTTTGGTTTCCTGTTCTTTTTTTCTAGAATTTTTGCCCCAGCTCTCATTCCTGGGGGCATCCTCTGTGTCAGTAGGCCTGGATAGTACACTCTTTCCTCTGTTCCTTTCTCCTCCAGTTCTTCACTGTGTCCTTCAGAGGATGCTAACCTGTGAAACTGGTTTCCATACTGCCCGGGAAGACTGGGTGTGTGTGGGGGGGGTCAATGTTAAATCTTTGACCTCTTCTCAAGGGGGATGAGGTAGACAAGGAAGAGATTAATTAGTCTCTATCCAAACAAGGACATATTTCCCACCTCTTTCATCCTATCCATTCCCAGCTAGACACTGACTCCAAACCAAACCAAACTTAACTGCCATTGAGTTAATTCCGATACATAGCAATCCTCATAGGGTCAAGGCTGTAAATCTTTATGGAAGCAGACTGCCTCATCTTTCTTCCACAGAGTGGCTGGTAGGTTTGAACCACTGACCTTTTGATTAGCAGCCAAGTGCCTTAACCACTACACCACTAGAGTGCCTTTAGATGCTAACTAGAGCCATTTTTTCCCTATCACCTGAGGAACCAGAACTTCCCCAAGGGATGAGGAGGGCTGGGCAAGGAGAGGAGGGAAGGAAGG